AATTTTTTTCGAAAATAAAACAATAAATTTTAGGAATTAAATAAATTTGGAAATCAATTTGGGTCATTAATCTTACCTGAAAATTTCACATTTAAATAAATTTGGAAATCAATTTGGGTCATTAATCTTACCTGAAAATTTCACATTTAAATGTATATTTTACAGGACTATCTTTTGAATCTAGCATTTTTTCCGGAGCCATCCAATGAAAAATCTCTTTTATATGCTTTATGTTTGTGGTTTTCGCATCAACTAGTCGAGCATATTTGAAATTCGAAATCTTGGGCTCAAGACGTGCGGTCATCTGGTTTAATTAACATAAATCATTAGCATTTAATTCGTTATTAATTCATTTTATAATTAAATTTATATAAATTGTCATTTATAAAGCATACCATAATGTTTTGACATCTTACATCATGATGAAGTATATCACAAGAATGTAAGAATGTAAGACCTCTACAGATATCTAGAGCAATTTGTACTTTATCATATAACGAAATCTCTTTATCTTTTCTTAAATATAACTCTTTAAGAGTACCAAGTTCAACACATTCAAAAACCATAACCTGATCTCCATCAACTTTAGAAATGCCATAAAATTTAAGTATATTGGGTGAGTCTCTCAACTTTCTCAAAATTGCTAGTTCGGCTTGGGTTCGTTGACTATCTTCAGTATCATCTTGTACAATATTTGTTGGTTTGCAAATGACATCTTGCCCTTTGTAAACTTTTCTTAAAACGTATGGTTCCATTCTACCTTGAATTCGGTTTGTATTGTAAAATATTGGATCCGATAATTCATTTGAAGATATATTATTCACTCTGAATTTCTTTGCGTTAGGAGTTTCCATTTGCTTTTTTATAATCCTGACTTCTTGGAGGACAGTATTAAGAGTATTCTCATTATCAATTATATTACCTTCAATTTTTTCTAAGAACTATTAAAAAAACGGAAAAAAAATGTGATTAATATGAAAAACTTAAACTTTAATATAGTTAAATTAAAAATAACCTTTGACATATTTTTAACATCTAAATCGAGACTTTTCTGATCGATTATTCTTTGTTCTTCATTTGACACACACATTGTGAAATGTAATTCTTGCATTGTAACTTCAAATTCGTTTATTAAACTGCCAAACTTATTTTTAGTCACAGCTGCGTTAAAGAATTTATTAAAACCTTGAAGGGTGGATACTTCTCTAATAAATAATTTTATCTTTTCTAAAATATCAATAAAACGTATAAAAGATTTATAATATTCAAGATTCTTAAAATTTTCTTCGTTCATAGCTCTTCGTCTTTCTAAAGTTTTAATTACAACTTCTGCAGCATTAACACGATCCATTAATGAATCGCAAATATTTAAATTGTATTTTGCATTATCGTAAACCTCATAAATCTCCGAAATTACTGTTGTTGCCATTGTTAATAACGGAAAGAACGATTCCAATGCATTTCCGATAGCGTTGACACATTCTATGCTTGATGAAATATGGTCTTCTGGAGTAATCAGTTTTACCCCAGGAACTTTTCTACTCTCATTCTCTGTTGATTGCATTTTTAATTTTATTAACGTAAATAACTAAAACGGTTTGTCTTTATATTTAAAAA